ATGATGATTTGTTTTTATGTTTTTTTCTTATGCATACCTACAGGAAATGCCTCCAAGCCCCACGGGACAGAGGCTCTACCTGCAGCTAGAAAGCTGTCATTAGAGACCAAAGCAGCCAAAGCATGTAGCTTTTGGACGGGGCTAGCGTACAGACTGTTATTGGCTTTCTGCGACATAGTGGATAATAACCAATTTTGTACGGAGATAAAGGAGATTTTTATTGCTTGTTCAGAAAGCATTACAGTTAAAGAGTTTCTTTATGTGGCTGCTGTAAACATTATGCAGAGTTTTCACATATTCAAATTCAGGATAACTTAATGAATATACCATCAAGAACCCTATACATAAAAAATGACAGTTTAATAAAAAAAACTGTGATTTTTTTATGTTGTTGTCTTTTTATTTCAGTAGCATGTTTAAACCTAAGTAGTTATTTTTTCAGCCTCAGTAAAGTCAGATAACTTGGGAAAATTCTTGAGATTAGACATGATCCAGTATTCCCATGGCTGATGTACCTGTTGCTAGTTTTCCGATTGGCAGCTTCTGTTCGTCGTTTCGTCCACGGTGTTCACTTTGTAGTGTGAATGTGCGTGCTGGTTTTTTCCCATAAATATAGCTGCTGGCCAGGAGCAGCTGATGACAGCCGTAATTACAGGCTGAGCTGTCCAACAGCTGAGGAGCTATAGCAGGAAGGGAGACAGGGGGGGGAGGGCGGGGGTGCATTGGTTCAAGCTGGGAGGCTTATGGAAACCATGCAAAGCTCTCTGAATGCGCTGTAGCCGGGATTTCATGGTGAAAGTTACAAAGCAAAATGAGATGGAGAAGATGAAATAAGTTATGTCTGGCACCCAGAATCAGGCCGAGTTGGGAGAAGACATGGAGGGGTGAATGGTTGGTTTTATTTGTGTAATTGTCTTTGGTGATAGCTGAACATCCATCCATCCATTTTCTGAACAACTCATTCCCAAATGGGTTCACGGGGAGACTGAAGCCTGTCCCAATATTGAAGGGGCAAAAGGCGGGGTACACCCTGGACAGTCCGCCAGTCTATCACAGGGCCACACAGAGACACACAACCACACACACTCAGACTTTGGAATGTCCAACCATCCTAACATGCAGGTTTTTGGACAGTGGGAGGAAGCCAGAGAACCTGGAGAGAACCCACGCACACACAGGGAGGACGTGCAAACTCAACACAGAAAGTTCCTGGTTCCCCCGGGGACTCAAACCCACAACCTTCTTCCTGTGAGACAATGGTGCTAACCACCACACCACCGTGCATAGCTGAGCGTAAACAGTCAAACAACTAATGATAAAAAACAGCTATGGCAGCAACAACTCTCTCATATATATATTATTTTTTTGTACAGACACAAAAGAATAATCAACCCATTTGCTTCATTCGATCTATTCATAAAACAGATATTTCTCAAAAGTCATGGCGATCATTCATGAAAAGTTTCCAGATTAGTCCCTCAGGTTTTGTCTCAGGATGCTGTGTTTACAATGATGAGCATTCAACACTGTGCAGGGTCTACTTATCTTTCAAATCTTGCCACCTAGAAAAAGAAAAAAAAGGAAAAAAAAGAAAAAAAAAGAAAAAAAAGGACAAAAAAAATTTAAATTAAAAAAAGGAAAAAAAAATCTTGCCACCTACTGTTGACGGCATCTCATGATTGTGGTAGAAAAAAGAGCACAATTACATGTCAGAGGCTTTATTCTTTTCTACTGTCCATCTTTTTGTCTCATCCAACACCAACGTGCAACCCTAATGAGCAATGGAAGAAAATCTAATGTGCTGAATGTGGTTTTACTACCTTGGACTACAAAACATTTAGTTGCTGTCATGCACTGCCTCTGGAGGTCTGAGTCAAATGCCTTAATGAACCGATGCATTAACCATTAAGATATGGAATAATTCTGGGTGTTATTTATAGGTAGAAATAAAGAATCACTTAGTTCGAGTCATTTAAAAGGCTCCCTGTCAGCGACTGCTCTGCACTCATCTTTTGATCTAATACCTATTTTCACTCAGTAAATCAAAGCCGGCCTACTCTGATCAGGCTGATAGTCTACCTCCATCACCATCTTTTCAGTGACCTTTACCTAGTATTTTAATGGTTTACTGGGAATCATAGCTGATCTGAGAGTGATGCTCTGAGTCTTCATTAAATAGATCTCGACAGCTAAACCTCTCTAAATTGGTCATGCATCATAATCTGGACTTTAATCCGGACAAATTTATCCAATAGATTAATTTGCGCACCTGTTGGCCTATTGGAAAATTAAAAGAAATAAGGTTTGCAGGTCTATCCATTATAGGCACTTTTTAGGCTTCCTCATGGGGTTTTTTAATCTTTTGTACCTTGCTGCTACTTTTATCTGAAAACGGTTAGATAACCCCTCTGAGTTTATCCCTGTTGGCTTCTTCCTCTTTCAACTTTTTTTGCTAATCAATTATCCTTAATTTGCAAGAGTATCAACAAATGCAATTTCACGTGTGGCTGAAGTTCACTTTCAATGAATCCAGTGACTGCTCAAAAGCACTGAACCCTTTCTTAAAGATTAATCGCATCAAAAGGTGATTATAAAATCCCCTCCTCGGCCTGATACCAATTGATGAATCAAAAAGGACAAGCCATTTTCTGCTCCCTTTGCTTCTCAGAAGGGCGAGCTGAATTGGATTTGTATGGACCCGGTGGAACAACACGTCCACTTATGGAGGGCAATTATGCTGGCAGGAGCACCTCAAGACGAGTCACTCTTCATAAGTCGCGCGGCAGAAATGTATTTTCTCTCAGGAAATGTGTTTGGGAGCAGCCCACAGCTTTTTAAAGGTGGAGGTGTTTGACTTTTTTGTGCGGGTTCCCTTCCTTGTAACGCGGCTGGCTTTCCAGGGAAAAAGCACTCTAAGGAAACCAGCTGAAGACCGGAAAAATCCCTTGCTGTAAAGCTCTTTAATCATTGATAATCAGGCCCGGTTTGTGCCGCATAATTTGTCAGTAGGGGTGATGTACCAGTACCACTGGTACAATAAGTTTTTCTAGAGGAAATTAGGTTGTACAGCACGTCTAAAAATGTTTATTTTTCAGGTCAACATGACATCACTGTCTTAAAACGCTGAGGGAATGTGAGTTATACTCTTTCAAAATGGGCATCCTTTGCAAGACTGTAACACATTCAGGAAAAAAACACAATGTTCTGAATGTCCTGGGTCATTGAGGCTACAGCGTTGTGTTTGCCTGTAAAGTTCACTGTGAGCTGTTTATTCCATGTGTAATTTGAAGTTTAAGACAACCTTGAATCAAAGGCTTTATCTACTTTTTTTTTCATTTATTGTACCTACGTTTTTTTTTAAAACTTAGATTAACACTATATACAGTTGTTAAATGTGAGGAAAAGGAGGAAATATAGCACATTATTCATTTTCTCTCATGGTAATCTATCAATTATTTGAATTTCTTTATTTCTGGATGTTGAAAAAAATATAATTTTCCCCAGATAGCCATTATATAAGGAAATGTATGTTATATCCACATTATTTATCATAAGTATTGTGGTCCTCTGCTGTTGGCAAATTGCTCTGCATCAGGCACAGTGTTTCAGAACCTACATCTTCCATGAAGTCAGAGAGATAAAAAGCTTTTTTTTGTTCCAGAACACGGTTTATCTTACATTTATTTGCCTGAAAGATGCAAATACTTTACCACAAATCTTAAACTGCAACATTTTGGTGATCTGACATAATTCGGCTGAGCTGATTCTGTTCCTCGTTGAAACGTTTCTAATAGATCTGTGTCACAGTGAAGAAAAAAAATAACAACCTCACAATTTCATATAGCAAAACACTAAAATAACTCAATTTATGTGGATGTTTGCAGGGTTGATATTACTGGGCAGTCTTTAACAAGGCTTCTCACTGTTGAATATTTTCCTTTTTCTGCAGAATTATTCTTGAATTAGATCATTCAGTTCTGCTGTGAGAGACAAAAGGGCAGACATAGCCGGATACGCACGCGTAACCGTCACCACCCCCACCGCATGATGGAGTCGGGGGTCATTCTCCATGATCCGGCAGACCGGGGCTCGGTTGCAAAAAAAAACAAAAAAAAACGATCTGACTCCGCCCTCTCCGTGACATCCCCCGCCTCTGATTGGTCGGCGTTGTCCAGGAGGAGCGCCGCAAACACAAACTGGAATGCGTGAGAGTGGGCTCAGTGTTTTTCTGTGGACGGTCGCTGCGTAAAAAGGGGAGCGAACGTCGATCATCTGGTTTAGGTTTTTTGCTTTTGGGATTGCTATTTTTGCCTATTTTTTATACATATATTCCTTTGTTTTTGCAAAATCCTCCGGCTCCCCTGAAAAAAAAAGGAAAAAGCACTTTCTTTTTTTTTTAACGTATGGATGGAGAGAGGCAGGTAGACGCGCAGAGACGCCACTGAGGAGCCACTTCTGTGGAAGTTTAGCAGAGGTGAGTGTCCGTGAATCTTCCACTGAGCCGGACACGACCGAGTGGTCAGCCGTGGTCAGTGTGTGGAGCGTGTATTCCGGTCCCTGGGGGGAAATCTTGTCCTCCAGACTGAGGGGAAAGGCTCTCAATGGGGCACTGGGTTAGTGGATCAAGCCGATGCGTGGACTGAGGGATGCAAGATTAACACAGCAGCCCCGGTTAGAATTTCGTGTCAAATTCAATTCCTTTCAGTTACTTTTGCTTTAGACGTTCATTCAGAAGCAATTGTGTGGTTTTTTTTTCTCGCGTGTTTGTCGGTTTGGCACATGTGATCGTAGACGTCTGGGCTTTTGGGTTCCACAGAGAACCCCAAAAAGGAATGCAATACGTTTAAATGCAAGACATTTGAAATGCTGCTTTCAATGTTTGGACTGGCGTTCGTCCATTTGAGCTGAGATTGAGAATGAGGTTTTTATCCACGAGTCTCCCCCGAGCGCACGCAGGATTTTGCAGGTGAAACCTGAGAGTAGGCTGGAGATTTGAAGAAATGCCTTCCAAATTCGCTGAGAAGGAAGGTCAAAGGGCATCTATCGTACACTAAAAACCACCCACTGTGGATCTGCAAGCTAAACCAGAGGAAAACAAACAAAAGCAGCAGCACCTCTGGGTTTGAAGTCTTAGTATTAGTTTCATGATATTTATTATTATATTAGAAGCTTCTCACCAACCAGATCTCTTTGATTTTAAATACCTTTTTTTATAATAGGTCCCTAGCTGTTCTGATAAGTTTTCATTTGCATGCAGATTGAGGACAGAGATATCTCCTGTAACACAATCCTCCAACATGCATGCAAATAAAAACCAAACAAGACCATTCTTTTCCCCACACATCCATTCAGCTATTCCTCCAGCCTTCTGTATCTGAACACATTTTTTCCCCCCTTCTTCTAAGGCTAAAAGCTTTTTCAGAGCCGCGCCACGCCGACTTTGATATGGTTAAGTGGAAGCGCTTTGCTTTGCTTTGCTGCCAGGCCGTTTGGGCCACGGCTGAGCCGTTTGAAGGGGCGCGGAAACGTGTTTGTGCCAAGAGAGTCTGTTTCCCAGACTCTCAAACGGGCTTTCCCCCCCCGTCACCTTCTCCCCACTTTCCCACTTTACCACGGCCAACTTCCCATTCGCTTTCTCCGCTCCTGTTCCTGCCACTGGCCCCGTCTTCCACCTTCTCTACCTCACACACATGCAGGAACAAGAGCACACACACACACACACACACACATGTGTATTCATTTCCCTTCTCCTCTCCAAAGTCTCATTAAAGGAATTATGACTTTGTGGTTTGGAGGTGATTCAGACACACTGTCATTTTGTCGGGTTTTTTCCCTAAGCCTCTTAAACACAACACCGCAGTGTTGATGTGAGCACCTGAAAGCTCCCCGATGTGGAGAGGGGAAGCAGCAAACTGCTGTTTTATGCTACAAACATTCAGCTTTTTGTTGGAGTTTGGTTTTTGAACAAGTTTTGCCAGTTTCCGACTGCAATGGAAGTTTTTTTTTGTCCAATTTCTATATCAGCTAAATCTGTAAACACTACTTTTAATCAGTTTTAACCTCTTTTTTGAAAAAAAAATGGATGTATTTAAAGCAAAACTCTGTGGCTCAGTATAGATTCAGAATCAGAAATACTTTAATATTACCAGAGGGAAATTATTGACGTTTCTCAGTGACGTAGGTTTTTTGTAAACCATTGATTGTTACATAAAAATCTACTGACCAACAGGAGGGATTCCTCAATTTAAAGAAAACCATTCAGCAGGATCAAATCGGGATTGTATTTGAGCAGATCAGTATGAAAATTTCATTCATGAGCATCATAAATGGGCGTATTTTTTAAAATTATGTCAAAGTTTGCGACCCTTCCATCTGTCTGACAGCATTTTTATTAGGAAATTGGCTGAATTAATAGGTACTTAAAGTCTGCAGTGTTTATGAGAGGTAAACACTCTGCCATGTGGTTATTCTGTGCTACAGGCTTCTTCTGTGGATTGGGTTGGAACGTGTGCTCAGCTCAGAAAGCTGCGTGCACTTTGTGATTCACTGTCCCGCAGAGTTAGTTTGTCTTTGTGAGGGCTGTTGTTATAAATTTTACATGCATGTTTAGGTCAGACTTTGGGTTCAACATAGTGCTGTATGCAGTCTCATTTATGAACAAAATCGTCTTTACTTTGAAGTTAAGATTCCACTTTTGTGTTACATGAACCATTCATTATTCCTAATTGCTGATTCCTTTTCTTTTTTTGTAAATGTAGACATTTCTGGGAACTTTGTCTTGGCTTTTAAATGTAACCATGTGAAACAAAAATCAATTTAATACAAAACTGACTCTGAAGTTTTGGCTTCATACAAGCACACGTTTTCTTAATTAAACAGTTTTTAAATTTGCTTTGCCTCTCATCTAGTACTGCATGTATAGATATTCCTCAACTTCACATGTGTCATTTTTGCTCGGATGGGATGGGATTTGGGGGGAGAGGTGGGCGTAGGGAGGGTGTGGGGGGTGGGGAGCCGGGGCAGGCAGACATTCTTACAGAAGGAGTGTCTCCTTACAGTTTTCTCAGCTGATGAAATAGCGCAGGCTGCAGATAAAGACCCTATGAAGTTATTATCGTTGGAGACATTTCACTTCTCTCCTTTGTTCTTTGACATTTTAACAGTAAATACGACTTAAATGATAAAGTCAAATGCCACACTGGGTTTAACTGGACGTGTCGGGCTTCCTTGATAAAACCCTGAAGTGCAAAGAGTGGGATGATGAGATTTGGTGATTTTGTTAACGGGTACTAAAGACACATGGTGTGTTGTTTTTGAAGGTTCCTATGCACTAATCTTATTTTCGAAATGGTCATTTGTATCGAGGTATTAATCACAGACACAGACTTCCACTCCGGTTGTTGGATAAAGTTGGAGTAATCTGCGGTCCTCCTGGCTGTAAGTCAGAGGTTATCTAGCCTCAGGATGATTGTCTTGGGTTATTAACCTGTCCCGGCACGTCCAACCCCGCAATCACTGCGGCCCTTAAAAGGGACAGGAGATGTTTTATGTTTGTTTTGGAATTTCTGATGTCAAGAAGGTGGGTTGCGGGCTACACTTGGGGGTTAAGTGGTATGTGAAGGGAGAGGCAGTGGAGCCGAGTGGAGGCGTGGGACAATGGAAACTGGAATAAAATGATTAGTGGGAGGTGGGAGATCCTCAAGGGATGGCAGGTGAAATGATAAATGAGGGAGACACCAGACATACTTGGAGGAGGGAGCCCAGAGTTATAACAGGGATGGTCTCTACAGTACAATTAAGACGACCTCACTGATTGTTCTCATCCATTTGTTTTTTAAGGCCATATTTACGTGTCATTCAGGACGTCCGAACAGGAACAAGCGACAGCTTGTTGTGTCGATCAACACTGTGCAACCTCCTGCAGGGAACACTGTTAAGAGAACAAATAGCGGACACTATAAACTCTTTATGGACCTCTAAGGGGGGGCTTCTTGTTAGCAAGATATATTCCTCGCTAACTTAGCCAAGTCTTAAACGTTCTAAAGATGTTTGCATAGATGAGGACACGTTATTTAAGTTTTGAATAGGTTCACAAGTTATGCATTACAAGAAAAAAAGAGAGAAAAAGTCGTCCTTTGCTTTCACAGACAGACAGGAAGATCGGTGCTAGCAGCGTTAGCTTGCAGAACGCTAAGACGGGGTAGAACAATTCTTGGGCCGATGCCACTCAGACAATGTCGCCAGTTCAGACTGTAAAAAAGAAAAAACCAAGACAACAGAAACAAAGCGGGAGCAGCTCTCTGTGGTATCACATGCTAGTCACAACGCTTACTCTGCAGGAACACAAACACATGCTTCTGCTAGCAGGAGTGTGTGTGTGTGTGTGTGTGTGTGTGAGTGTACATGGCTTTGTGTGTTTTGTTTCTCTGACTGCATGAGTAAGAAGCAGTGATGTATGAAAAGTGATAACCGGAACAATTATGTGCTTCTAATGGACTAATGAGTGCCCATTTATGTGTGTGTGTGTGTGAGAGTGTGTGTCTGCCTCTCTCTACCTCAATATTGCTCTGGATTTTTCTATGCTCCCTTCCCCATCTGTTTACCCCCCTCCCTTCCCTTTTCTTCCTTTCCCTGCGTCCCCCCCATAGAAACAAATAGGGAATTTACGGGGAGAGTTTAGACTGATCCCCTCCCCTTTTCTCTTGTCTCTGAGCAGATCAGCATTGAACTCTTTTTCTATCAATAGAGATCTTCCTCCTTAATCCTTTTCCCAACAGTCTTTGCTGCCATGCAATGCATGGTACAACACTAGACATCATCCATGACGCATGATATTTGGCACACTGACACACACACACAGACACACCTCTGGCCGGAGCAGTTGGGGGCCGGATCAGCATTATGATGGCCATAAGCGTTTTAAGCTCGTGAGCTGATAATCTGTTTTGGTCTTTGGTGTAAAGTAGAGTCCGACCAGACAGAGGGTATCTTATCTCACATCTGTTTGCCACCGTCTTCACATCTGTTTCTTTGTTTTCGTACCAGGACAACAGACCGACACGTCCAGTTTTTGCCGTTCCTTGTGTCCCTCTATCCCCAAATATCAGTTTCAGCTCCCAGGTCACATGTTTAATCAGAACTGGATCCAACTTCTGGAAAGAAAGGGAGCGTGAATGGTTTCCTCTGTCATAAATTCAGGGTTTTTTGAGGCAGGAGGAAGTGGGTGTTCCCGTCCCTGTCTCCTTCAGGGTTCTCGTGACACGCCGTTCCACGATGAGTGATTCAGAAACGAGACGGAAGTGAGATTTATTTGTTCGCTCTTGGAGGGGGGTCATTGTGAGGATGGCTGTTCTTTCTTTGATGGTTTCGCTCATCCCAAAAAAATATGTCCCGAAAAAAGCATTGGCTTGGTGTGAAGATTCTATCTGACACCTTCATAGCACAGCTATGGGAACTTATTGTGCAGTGCCTCTAAAGAATGTCAGACTTTTTTTCTTCTTAAATATTAAAAGATGAAGTTTGTTCATTTCAGTATCCGTAGACTGAACTTTTTTGTTGGTTCCCTGTGGCTTGTCTGACTGGCTTATATAATATCACAAATCTAATTTCTGTCCTGAGGTTCATTAATTATTTACCAAGATCTTGCATTAATGATGGGAAAGTTGGACATACGTTTAATGTCCTTGCATACCCAAAAATACCCAGGGGTGACAATTTATTTGCTTTTTGCCTTTTCTGGAAATGAGGAGATTAGAACTGCTTTCTTTAAAGTAATTGCCTGATTGCAGAGACTTCACTGAATGATGTTTTTCCTCAAAGATGAAAAAATTAGGACCCAAAACTCAGCTTGGAATAATGACTATGCAGTATGCAGTTTCTCATCTCATGTGTGTTGTTATTTGTCGGCAAAAATACATTATAATCTTATGTAACCCCAACAAGTACTTACTGTATCTGAGTCTGACATTCTTTAGTCAATAAAATCCCTCCCGTCCTGTGCATGTATACCAGAATAGTCCCATTGATTT